CCCGGTTCCGCCACCGGAAGCGGCCCCGCGTATCCGCGACTCGGGCCCGCCCCACTGCGCGGGCGTACGGTGCGTGCCCGTGAGCAGCCACTGCGCATGCGCCACAGACCAACAAAATGGCGGCGGCGCGGAGGGAGCGCCCACAGCCCCTGCTGCAAAACAAAGCTGTTGTAAAGCGGACAAAACGGCAGCGGCTTAGAAGGAAACTCTCTCTTTGAGCACGTAGTGATGTGACAGAGAAAGGCCGAGCTGCGGGGAAAGCCGAGCGAGGCCCTGCTAATTAACCTCCCCAGAGAAGCAGCTTCACAGCGTCCTTCGGCTGAGGGGTAAGATAGAAACGCGTTCAGTGCCAGGGGCAGATGTGTTTATATTCTCGAGTCAATCACCTCAATTACAACATAAAACACCAGCTTCACCCAAAGTAAACCGTATCGGATGAACCGATCCTGTAAGGATGCTGTAGCTCTGTTCACAGCCAAGGCCCTGCTAGGGTAGCACTGAAGATCTCACCTACTGTGCTATGCTACTTGGTGCAAAGCAGTGCTATCAAATAGGACACAGACACGGTTTAAGAAAAGATTTACTAATCGTTAGTACTCTGCCAATATTGCAACAGACGTGAAAGGCAAACACTGTTACAATTTAGAAAAAACAAGTTTTATACAATTAAAATATTAAATCTCAAAAAAAAAAATCAGTGGCCGAGTAATAAGCCTGGAATTTCCAGTATTAGCACCTACAGAACCACCAAAAGCCAAAACACTCCACCTCTTCTGCACAATTCTCCTCCTCTAAACGCCTAAATTCCTTCTACAAATGGACAACGACGCTTAGAACCGAAACCAGGACATCCTTGCTTGGATAAGGGAAAAGGATACAAGAGAAAAAGATTTAAGCCAGCTTGGTTTGTAGGAACTTTACTTTTGCAGGTATTGCTGAGGAATGTCGATGCATGGGAGATGCTAAATTATGCACAGTTCCACTTTTCAACAGTGCGCCAGCAGACAGAATTGAGAAACCATCTTATACAACATCTAACAGTTCGTGAAATCAATGTTTTCCTATAAACTATATTTAATAAATCTGTAAAGAAAGTTTTACACTTCACATATTAATCAGAGCAGGGTAGGAATTGGTGTGGTTATTGGTTCAGCATCCATTTTATTGTACCTACTGAACTGTACTTACGAAGGAATAGACTCCCCTCTTCTGGTGAGCACTGACAGATGCAACAACAGCACAGATACAGTAGTAGAAAAAACACCAGCATTAAAGTCCGGCTGTTCCCCCCACCCTAGGAACAACCAACACATCAAAACAAACAACACTTTGCCTTCTAGCTTTCCACGAGAATCAGCACAGAAAACATGAACCGCTCGT